TTCTATTTTCATTATAAAAGAGGTGACCAATCAGGTGGTATTTATCAAAATTCACATTGTGTTTTAATTGGTCAAAGTTCTTCCAGTAGTATATTTTCTCAGTATCATAGACTTTTCCTTTGTGGAGAAGAGTGGGAAGTTAGAGAGTATAAGAATAATTTTCCACATTTATATTGGGATGCATATAGTAAAACAAAGAAAAAAATAGTTATTTCAAATTTCAAGTATGATAGATACGGGTTCAAATGTCAGTCATGTTATAGTCTATGCTATTGCTTGATCATTGGTGTTGTTGCCAAAATTTGCAGCAAGGGTGAAATATATAAAATTGTTGGAAACCTAAGGTGTTACTTAGGCTTTAGAGTGTTATTTATAATCACAGGAAATGTCGAAGGCCCTGAGGTAATATCTTGGGGGCGTGGGTTCCTTATGATGTAATATGATATGAGACGAGATGAGATGAAGTGAGGTGTGCCCAGGTATATAATGTGTCTTGTGTGTAGTATCCAGTGTAATGCCTTTAAACAAATGAATGGTTCACCTATTTATAAGAGAGGAGGTTCATTTAAGAATAAGTACATGGCTTGCACGTAGTCGGAGTTTGATCCACTTATTATGCCCTTTATAACACGTTGAATACACTGGCATTATAATGTTCTAATCAACTTGGCCCTTATTCAGTTGACCAGATATACATGTTGTGAGCCGGTGTAATATTAACATGATTATTGATTAGGTCAGCTTAGCTTTCTAAGATGAATTTGACCAAACCGGCTTTGTAAAATTAGCTACTCTTAAGTTGGCTCGACCTTCAATTAATGACTTTACTCTAATTTATGGTTTTTAAAATCGATCCAGTGATTGAATTAGTCAGGGATTCAGTTATCGGGTCAAATGGTCTGATCGTTCGAACTGAATGTTCGACTTATTCTGACAAAAAAAATAATAAACGATAAAATTGTTCAAACAGTTTGAACAGTTAACTGCCCGATTCAGTGGTTTATTGACTAAAATCAACGGTTTTGAAAGGAAATCCGATTTTTGAGGAAAATGAAACTGGCCACCTGATTGATTCCTGATTTTTCTGGTCCGACCCAATTTTAAAAACCATGCTCCAACCTACTACCACGTCTAATTAAGTTCTAACTAGTAGTCGATTTTGACCATATTAACAAGGGCAACTTATATTTGATGCAATCAACCCACCACCTTAATGGTCACATCAGAATGTATACATGACCTACTTTAACATACATATCCCTTGGATCGAATTGTCCGCTAGGCCTGAGCTCGCCGGGCTGGTTTTGCCCCCTAAACCCTAAAATAGAACGACAAGGAAGAGATTATTGGTTTTCTTGCTCTAATTTGTGGTTTCTTCATCCGCACACATCAAGCAGCAGCTGGATGCATGTAATTAATTCATTATTCATCACTGCTGGCATCAGTACCTTATATATATGATGAGTGGCTGTGCTGTGGAGCGCCGGCCCAATTATTGTTTCCTTTGGTTGGGGCTGTTATGTTTTATATATTAATCCAGCCCAATTATTATTCATCACTGCTGGCATCTGTATTATGCAGTTACAAGAGTCAACTCAGTAAAGTTTGTTCTCTCTGATTCTTTCAAATCTCAATTTGTGTAATTCACGGTTTTACTTTTCTTGCCTCTTTGAGTTTACACTCTTGACAGTTTGGCTACCTTCTAGACTCTAGCCCAATTCGGCAATGTCTGGGTGGCTCTATCTTTTGAATTTTCCAAATCCACTTTACCACTTACTAAGATATTAGTAATTATTTATTATTAATAGGTAAATTAGTAATTAATTTTACTATTATTATATTCCCCTAATACTAACATAGATTTTGATTGGGCCCAAAGCTGAAAGGGAGATTTAGGAATGGTAATTCGGTATACATATAGCATTCTAGTTCGGTTTTTGGTTTAATTCGATTAGATTTTATAGACAAACCGAACCGGAATCGAAATCTAAAATCATTTTTTCATACAACAAAAGCCGAACCGAACCAATATCTGAATTAACCGAATTGATTTTTTTTTATTCGATTCGATTTTCAATTTCTGATCCAAACTTAAACACCTCTGTATCCAGCCCTCCTGTCAGGTTACACCCTCATGAAACCATGTGATGGTCAATCTCCAACTGTTGATTGTTAAAGATTCCATGCATAAATATGTCCCGATCCATGATATCCCCATACTATACAATATACGGAGAACTAAGGTGGTGTTGTGTGTTGAAGATTGCCACATCTATAGAGAATATTGATGTGCGTGGTAAATGAGTGGTGGGCCCATTTAGGGCTGCCACTTAAGCAACAACTTGGTCCTGTTATCCTGTAGGCTGTAGCTGTAGGGAGGCAAACAAAATTACAATTATTTCCCAAATACGGGTTTTGTATTTCAGAATATTTTCGATCTTGATAAGCATAAGCTAGGCTGAGTGCCTGGCACTTGTCTCTTTTGTAATGAATTCGTTGATGAATGAAACTCAAAGTGGTCATCTGTGCAAAGAAAGGGTTGGTACTAACATGCAATAAAATTGGAGAACATGCACTCTTACTTACATGTGTCATTCTGAGCACAAGAGAGCTACAGTAGTTTGTCCAGTTCTGCAGTACTGGGCCACACATACACACTAACCTTCCCGTATTACAGCAATCCAGAACTTATCAATCTCACCAGTTCTTATCTCTTCACCAGTGTTTCTAACCTCAAGTCAAGGCCGGTCGAGGTCCGTTTCTATCAACTTCCTCACCACCTACACTTCTACCTACTGTGTAGAACAACACTGGAAATTACCCGACATACATAGATGTTTTTGTGTCACTGTTAGTCAATAGTCAAGACATGGAAATATGCATTAATTAGTAAGAGATTCAACAAGATCGTGACACGTGTCAGTGAAGTGTAGGTGGTGAGGAAGTTGGATTAATTGGACCATCATGATCATCATCATCATCTCAAGGAATTAATGGGAAAACTCCCTTGATTCGTTAGAAAATTCTGGGGTAGATAGTTAGATACTAGAGAGGAAGATAAGGAAATCCACAATCCTTATCCTTTTCTTTAGTTTTTTTATTCTAAAAATGTCAATTTTGACTCCCCTGTCCATTTTTCTACATCTTCCAAACACATTAATTTCTCTGCTTTTTAATTCTGGAATAAGACATTGAATTAGACATTTTCTTAGAATTTCCTGAACGATGAAAAGTAATTCAGTAAATATATATCAAGGTGGGGGCATGTTTGGAATTGGAGTGTGTAAATCAAGTCAATTTAACAGAGTGCATAAAATTTACAGGACTGGAAGTAGCAGTTACTAACCCGACCATCAAACCCACACCCTTCTCTCATTTACAGGTACCTTGTCTACATCCTAGACAGATAAGAATAGGGTCTGGTTCAGTTGTCAATTCTAGAAATTAGGTAATCATGGATCCAACCAAACAGGGTATTTTGTCAATCCGGTTAACTCAGCGGTGCTTGTCGGATTTGAATGGACATTTGATGATCAACATGGGTAATACCTGCAGGCTTATGGTTGGTCACGTCGATGCCTGACCTAACCGGACTCAGCCTACGCCATGCCACTCTTATGTTAAGTCTGTTTGATAGAGGCTGAAATGGCTGAACTGATCAGTTTTGATGAGGGGTCATGACAGGTGGCATCTCAAAACAGTTGAGTGACACTTTGGTACCACGTAAACAGATCATTTTGGACACTTTATAATTGTATCAATAACCTTAGGGTCACTTTGGTAGATCCAACTGCAAAAAATTAGATGCGATCTCACGCCGATGTGTGATGCGACCTACTTCCAACGGACTACCCTAGTCCCGCCAAGATGCTAGGACGGCATGAGAGGTCACTTACTTCTATCAACCTTACTTGAGTTCAACTAGCGACCTGTCGAATCTCCCCCTTGAGTGAGTTATTGTCTCCGACTTCTCCAAAACCACGACACTCGACCGTTAGACCCATCTATCTGCATCGAAGTTGATCAAACCGACCTTACCCCTTTGTGTGGATCACGTATCCGACTGAGAGATCTCCTCCAAACATGGCGGGTGCGGTTTCTCAGGAATCTCGGGTGTGTTACAAGAAGCTCCTGGTTTGTTACACCTATATAAAGGTGTCCCCTCCCTTTGAGAATGTATACATGATTCAGCTCTTAAACACTCTACTTATCTCACTCTTTAGCTCTCTTCGAAATCTCCAATTTGCTGACTTAAGCATTGAAGTATCCACCCTGGGTTAAGCAGCTCGGACTTTTCTAATTTTGTCTCTTTACAAGTCGACCCAGCAAACTAGCCAACTCAGCATCTAAATTTCCTTCCAACAAGAAACTGTCAGATCGCGCATCATCAAGTTTCTTTATTGGTTTTCCTTTCGGTGAATAAGCAATGGACTTGTTACTATGTCAGGGTCACCATTAAAATAAGCAATCTAGTTCAGCCAATTCAAACAGCCCCCTCGACTATGTAAGAGGTAGGTAGAAAAGAAAACCAACGAAACAAAAGAGAAAGAAAGTTTAACTGGGTGTGGGTGTGAGAGAGATGCAATAGGGGGACCGCACCCAAGAGTTCAAACCTTAACCAGGAATAATTGTAACAAAGAGACAAATCTACCACAGGTCCCATTCAACTATATATAGAGAGAGAGAGAGAGAGGTGGGGAGGGGACCCAACTGAAGTCTAGACCTCAGTAGTAGAATCCACGAGAAATCCCCTTAATTGGAGAGGTAGCCAATGAGAATGCAAAGAATCGGATGGAGATTTTAAACTCAGCCAATGGAGGACGAGATAAGGCAGGACTGTGGGTCCAAAAGCGCCAAAAAGTGCATAGAGAGAGGCCTTGTAAGAGGAAAAAGGCGCTTTGTGGGGGGCCACCCATTAATCAATAATTGCGAACCCACCCAGCTCGTCTCTACTTAAGACCCGACCCCATTTTTCCTGTTGCGGTTTGGTTTGTTTTCCACTAGTTTGCTTTTTTTTCTGTTTTTGGCTCTTCCATCTCAAACCGTTTTCTCCTCGATGAGCTCGGACAAGAAAGTGGCCAACGCCGTCGGTGGCAAGACGGCCCGAGCCTGTGATAGTTGCCTGCGTAAACGTGCGCGTTGGTATTGCGCCGCAGACGATGCTTTTCTTTGTCAAGGCTGTGATGCTTCAGTCCACTCAGCGAACCCATTAGCACGACGGCATGGAAGAGTTCGACTCAAGACTGCATCTTTCAAGCCTAACGATGATTCCTTGGTTGAGAATTATGTACCGGCGTGGCACCAGGGTTTTACACGCAAGGCGAGAACCCCTCGTCATGGAAAGCCAACTGCACTGCAGCAATCCAAGAGTACTGATCATGAAGAACCAATACCAAACCCACTTCCTCTTGTGCCGGAGATGGGCAGCGAAGAGGCCTCACCGGACGAGAATGAAGAACAGCTTCTTTATCGGGTTCCCATATTCGATCCCTTTGTCGCTGAACTGTGCACGCCCGCCACGTCCAACGAAGCATCGATGACTGCAAATGATTCGAGTACTGCAGCTGTGGGTACTGAAACGAAGGCCTTCCTTCATGAAGGTCATGATGTAACGGGGGATATGGATAACTTGCCTGGGTTTCTTCCCTCTGATATGGACCTTGTAGAATTCGCCGCCGACGTCGAGACCTTATTAGGAAAGGGACTCGACGAGGACTCTTTCGGCATGGAGGGTTTGGGACTATTAGATTGTAAAGATGAAGAGAAAACGGACTGCTGCTTTGGTAGTGGAAGGGTGAAAGTTGAAGAGGAGGAAGTTGAAGCTGCCGTAGAATGTCATGTGGAAGTGGAACTGGAGCACGACATGGCCAGGGAAACACTAGACTTGAACTTCGACTATGACTCACCAACGACAGCCGAGGACGAAGTAGAGGAGAAAATGGTCACCGGAGCAACCATGATGGTGACGAACGGCGGATGTAAAGCAGAGGAGACGACGAGAAAAACATCATTGAAACTCGACTACGAGGCAATCATCTCCGCTTGGGCGAACAAGGGTTTGCCGTGGACGACCGGCGACCGCCCACTCTTCAACCCCGACGACTGTTGGCCCGACTGCATGGTGAGGCTCTTAATTGGACCCACTCCCACCATTTCATCTTCATCATACAAACTAAAAGAACCTATCAAAAATTCAAAACACTGAACGCAAAATCTACGCGTGCGTGCGTCATTTTCTAATACGCCAAGCTGTTATTTAAGTCTTCGAAGTAGATAGACACAATGAGATTTCATCGTTCTCAGTGCAGTGCAGACTCCAAACTGCTCTTTAGTCATCTAATGATCTGAGAACACCCCAAAATTTGTAAAAGAAACTAGGACTAAGGATAGTTTATGGCGATTGGCGAACACTTAAATTATGGCAGTGATTGACCTGAAAATGGTTTTGGTGTTCAGGGTACGTGCCCGATGACGGAAGTTCACCATTATCACCCTTACGGTGAGATGGGAGGAGTAGGAGGACACGTGACCGCAGGAGATGGAGGGAGAGAAGCGAGGGTATCGAGATACAGAGAGAAGAGAAGGACAAGGTTGTTCTCGAAGAAGATACGGTACGAAGTCCGGAAGCTGAATGCGGAGAAGAGACCTCGAATGAAAGGTCGATTCGTCAAGAGGGCGTCCTGTACAGGACCAGCTGCTTTTCCTTTCTGAGTTCTGACTATGCAGTAACCGTCTGTTAAAGAGTTTGTTTGATGGGCTTTCAAAGTTTTATTTTCGATGGCCTGTGAACTAATGCCATTGAGTATTGACTAATATTAAAACTTCAGTTTTGCTCTCTCTCTCTCTCTCTCAATGTGTGTGTGTGGACTTATTAGCCTTCTTGTCTTCTACCAGCTGCCAAGTACCAAGTTTTAGTATTCCGGCTGAAACGTTAAAAGATCCAAGGAAATGCAAATGAATTCATTTGGGGTTTGGAGGTTGGAAAAAATGTTTGATAAAATGAAACTATTTTTTTATGGAAAAAAAATGAAACTAATTGATTTAGTAAAGGCTTGAAAATCAATTGAAATTTTAACATCTATTTAAAGCTTACAAACACTCTACGTCAACCCTCTCTCTTCTCATGAAGGCTTGAAAACTTGAGCCTATACTATAATCAAATTCCTTTGACTTCCCAATTTCAGAGCTCCAGTTAACTTGCCTCCTCTTTCAAAAGTTCCTTTTTCCGTTCTAATTCTACTTTCTACATTGAACCCATCTGGACTTGGCACGAATCCCTGTATTGATCAAGGTGTCAGATTTTGTTCAGTACATCTTCCTTAATTAATGATCTGAAATAGGGCCAATTTGATGAGGAATAAAGAAAATTTTTGGACAAATGGTTCCCTTAGGCTGCGTTTGGATGCAGTGTAAAAGCTGGTTCGGTGTATTTTTACATTTCAGTCCAGTTTTGCGGTCGTTTAGATGGAATGTAAAAGTACACCGAAGATTAGTGTACAACCTCATTTTTGAAACCCATTTTATTTAGATAATCGACATGAAATGTATTGATTTTTTTTTATGTAAAACTCAATCAAAGCAACGGCTCTTTCTGACTCTCTCTCTCTCTCTCACCATCGAATTTTTACTTCACTGTCGAATTTCTTTCGCTAGCACCCTCCACCACCATCGAGCTTCTTTCCGTCGTCATTTCCACCACCATGCATCCTCATTCTCACTCTCTCTCCATTCTCTATTTTCTTTTCCAACTCTATTGTCGTTTTTGACTCCGTGCGACTCCATTCTCTATTTTCTCTCATGATATACACTGATCTTTCAAATACACGGCAGTGTAAAACTAAACATTGACGGTTCATTTTTTGTGCTGACACGTCTGGCCATTTTCCTTTTATATTGATGTACATTTGTATTTACGCCGCATCCAAAAACATCTTTAGACTCAATTTGAAAAGAATACAAATATAAATATATATATATATATAAAATAATACAAAATACAAGAATTTACAATCTACATATAAATATATTTGTACTCCCTCCAAACTGAGTATAATGAAAAGACAAAATCGCCTTGTAGAAGACAAAGAATGAGAAATTAATATAAGAGGGCGTTTTCCGCCATTTCAAGAGAGAGTAGACTTACAGGCATACACACACATCTTTCTAACTTAACATGAGCAAAGCAAAACAAAACAAAATGGAGGGAGGGGTCTACCATTCACAGTGTTTAAGTGCTGGATGGTTCTTAACATTGAGTGGACCTCAAGGTTACACATAAACATTTTCTTAGATACATAGGCATAAGGCACACAACACAAGTAAAGAAAAACAAAGCGAAGAAAAGGCCTAATGGAGGAGTGGTGGAGGGTTCTTAACATTGGATGGACATCACTCTTCCCAATTTGCGCCACAAGGATGCTTGGGCAAAAAGATTAAAAAATAATAAAGTGACATGTGGCCAACATGTAGCTATGGCCTGACCTGGTAATTCAAGGGCCCACCCCATTTATTTCGTATGAGCCTTGTGTTGTGCCCAACAGACGTAGTTATGTAGGATGTATTGACCATCATTTAAATTATCTCTTTCTATATATTTTTTCCCTTCTATTTCTTGGGTGGTGGTGGTGGTGGTGGTGGTGGGTACCACTACCGGACCACAGTTCATCTTTATTGTATTATCGGCATCACCAACCAAATGAAAAGAGTTGGATCATCACTGGTGAAAAATATCGCCACGTAAGTCTTAACCCATGTTGTCTTTTGAATGAACGATGAAGTTTGTTCAAATTTCTTTTAATCATGGATTGGCAGACTGGTTTTGAGTGGCCTTTTTCATCTACCGTCGGAACTCGGAAGGAGACTTTCCCTCCTAAAAGGCAAGAAAGGTTTCTGGTGCCAGAGATCCAGAACCAAAAGGGCCCAAGATGAGACCTGAGAATGGGCCTTGCCATTTCGGTGCTGTACACGTGGATGATAAGCCGTTATCCCATTCAACATACGGCCAAAATATCTTAAATTGGAGCAGATGGATGGACAAGTGGCAACATATGGTCACGTCCGGCAAATGTGTATTGGTGCATGCGACCGTACGCTAACAAGATGGTCCCGCAGAGATCAGATGCTGACACCAGTGTCCAACCACTTGCTGGCCAAACAGTAACAGCCTTTTCACTCCAACTCTCTACATAAATAAAGAAGATTCGTTTTAAAAAATTAGAATTGTCTCTATCGGAAAAAAAAAAACTAATATTTAATTTTGAAGTTTGAAAAGAGGTATACATGCTTTTCTGTTATTTAGAGGCTCTAAACAAGTGAAATTGTTTAAGATAGATCAATTCTTCAATATCTGAAAATGGTAGATTTTACTATTTTAATTCATTGGAAAGAATTCATCCAGCCATGTATTAATGTTGAGCAAGTCAAAATATATAGCAAATGGTTGGTGGATGCACCTTCCACAAGGAACCATGTCGGTGTCATCAGTTCTACAAAAATGAGGTGAGAATTCTCAAAGGTGTCGACACCAACATGCATACTTTGCCCATGCTTCTTCAAACCTAGGAAATTCGTGCCTTGGAAAAGCGACTGGTTGGAGGTAGAGGGTCTAAACGATTGCTCTTTAACGTTTACAACTAGCCAAGATCTTGGTAAGAGGTGTTCCTTGAGTTCTGCCATTAATGGAGAGTTTTACGAAGTGAGAAATGGAAACCATCATTGGTAGAGTTGTCGGCATGGAGAAGGAAGCTAACAAAAAAACTAAAAAGTGCATTATTTTTACTTGGAAACTATCCCTGGTAGAATTGTCAACACCGGAGAAGGAGACATGAAGCTTTAACTCGGGAAGTGAATTGGGGCTTGGATTTGGGTTAAAAGAAGCAATTTTTGTCATTTGAGAAATGATAGGAGGGCATTTAGGACATTTTATCAGCTCTGAATTGCCTCTGACTACATTAAGTAGCTGGGCAACCTCTTACGGTTTCAGATCTGAAAGTGGCATTTAGATCCATTTTTAAACATGACCCTAAATGTCTATTACCCCTAAAAAGCAAGTTTTTCAAAGATAAGAGGCGGATTCAGCATTGTTAAACGCTGCCTAAGGCTCCATTTGCTTTTCAGTACCTGGGTAAACACACTTATCCATGCAATTATTATTGACGATGGTTTCTTAAAAAAAAATGAAAAGAAAACAATACAAACTTTATGAACAAAAAAAAAGAGTTGCAGCTTTACATTTGAGCTATTGATATGAAGGGAAATTTTAGAAAATAAATCAATTTCCAAAAAAAAATGGAAGAGTTTAGGATAGCAATTATATGAACAGAAAATTTGAAAAATAAACATTTTGGTCAAAAGGAACTACGTGAATGTTTTGGACATTTTCATGCCTCTTGTTAAAATATTCTAATAGAGGGGGTCTACTTACAACTAAGTTAGAAAGTTTATGAGAGGTGATTACAATTACCGAACTTCAATGGAGGTTTTAGCAATTTACCCTTTTATTTAATTTACAATGCTAAGTATTTGATAATTAATGTCATTTTAACATCGAATGACCAAATCTTGGTTATAGTTTAATTGGTCTTCCACCTTTTCAAAGGGCCAAAACGATATAAGCAATTGTGCCAAATTGAGAAATGATGCACACACTTGTAGAATTGTTCCAATCGCTCATTCTTTTTAACTTTCAAAAAAATCATCCATTTTCTGTATAGGATACATTACAGTGACCCATTTTAATGCTACTTGTTTCAATGAATTGAATCGGAAATATTCACTATAATTTTAGGGATGTGCTTAGCTTTACAAACATGGGATTAGGGATGTTGATGGGTAGGGATGATTATTTATGATCTCGCTCGGGCTACCTATCCTAAAAATTCTTTGGCATAGGCAATCAAATTTCTCTCAAGCTGGTCCAACTTGGACCCGTATCGAGCCCCCACATAATGCAGGTTGGGCCTAGGACAAGCAAGCCCTATGTCCAACAAAACCGACCCATCTCAAAAGTTGTGTGTATATTTATAACATATACTATAATATTGGTATAATGTCATATTTATTTGTATAACATCTTACATTTTTATGGTGATTATGTAATATATTTCATTTATGGCATAGTACTTTACCAAATATATATCCATATAAATATGGTACGTATCACATGTATATATAGCATATATGCACATACGATATAATACCTTAATATACATACAATAAATTTTCAAATTTATTTTCTGTAACTTTTTTAAACTTATTTTCTGTAATTTGATTATAAAGTTAAGTTAAAACTTTATTTGTTTTAAAACACAAATACTATATATTCATATGGGCCAAACTAGATGCTTGGCTTAGGGTCAGGCTCGAACATGTATTATGAGGCCTAGGTAGGCCTCAAGGCTATTAACTACTTGTAAAAACCCAATCTAACTCATGATCATCCCTATTGATGGGTTGGATAGGCATGGTTTGGTCCAAACCGAACCTAACCTAAAATCCAATTAAGGCTGACCTGATCCTAACCCGATTAAATCATTTTGCTTCTTCTATTAGTGAACTCAACAAATATCAAAGTTAAGTAACCCTAGAAAGGACCACTAAAAGGCTTTTAAAAAGACTTGAGATATTTGTAAAGAAGTAAAGACTCCTTGCTCATCGTAATAGATTTGATACCCTTAGGGTAATTATGTATGAATATTTAGGGTCTATTTGGCAAGTCTTTTTAGAAGATCTTTCAAGCTTTTCAAAGATTGTGAGACCCCAAAATGGCTGAAAATCAAGGACCTTTAAATTGAAGCTTTCAATATTTATGCACTTAAAATCTTTCATTTAATAGCTTGGT